GGCGCAGAAGAGGCCCGTCGCCGGCTGTGGGGGCCGAAAACAGGCGCCGGCCGGGAGCAATCAAAGCGCTGAAAGTCAGCACCCTGCAGGGGTACCCACTGCCCAGACGCCCCCGGAGCGATTCGAAGCATACACTGAACCGCACTGACCACGTCCCCTGGAGGACCATGCTCAGTGCCCGGCCGTCCACTTTGGATGGTGATCCCCCATTCGGCAACGCACACGATCGAGGCAGGCAGTGGAGGATCCATGGATCCATCCATTGTCGTTATCTCGTCTCTCTCTCGACCCCGTCTCATCCGCGTCTTCGTCTCCTCTCATCCTTCAATTGCCGCCTGACAAGGCTGCAGCATACTCAATCTTTGTATCAAGAACTTTGGACATCCATTAGCTCACCATAATCGGGAACGACTCAGCATATCCTAGGATCGACGCAGGCTCGACTCAGAGAGAGACGCATATGGACCTGTGACGTGCGGCTCTAGCCGATGACGACAGCCGCCCGTCCAATCCACTCCCGGTCGCCCATCACGAGGCCCTTGGTTCTTGCGACGTCGTGACCTCTATCTGCTCTGCTCTGCTCTGTCTGTCATCTCCATCGACTCGAGCAAGCAACTCGTCTCTTTCATCTAGACTTTTGTTGCGGCTGCAGCGACGGGACGAACGCTGCAGCAACCCGACCATCACCATCCATATCGTCACGGGCACAGACATACAACAACTACACAAACAACCGAGCTAGCCCTACCTTACCCTTGCGTGGTACAGTACAGTGCAGTGCTAGGCCCTCTTTGCTCACCCATCCTGTACCTTCATCGACGACAACCCTGGCGGCTGCGTCTGGCTGCCTTGCGCTTATCCCCATTTCCCTTTAACTTTGCGCCTGCATCTTGCTGTCAACGGCCCAAGCCTTGGTCGCCAGCTCACCGTCGGCATCAAAGTGTATTTTTTATTTCCCACTTTCATGCGCCTGTCCCTGACCGACCCCGGACCGATACGATACAACTTTACTCAAGAAGCTCGCCAATCCCTTGAAACTCTCTCCGCTCCCTCCCATCCTGCTCCCAGAGATATGAACCATGGATGAGCAGGTCCGTTGGCCGACCAAGATCCCTATACGCTCGTGATCATTCCCTCCCGATACCTACCACGAGCCTCCTCCGCGCACACCACCACCTACAATGCATCAACAACCCCGAGTCCCAGCACGGGTCTCGAGCCCCGGCGCGAAGCCCCAGACGAATCTCCCTCGATCAAATACTGCACGAGAAGCCGCGTTGGGCTCCCGGCCTCGCGCTGGGTCATCCTTCTCGAGCAGAGATGCTCCGAGATCACCGACTCTTGAGACCCCACCGCCTGTGGGACTTCCCGCCGATTCTATCAAGAAGCTCGATCAGATAATACAGGTACGATTGGGATGGATACATTGAGCTCGATCCCGAGATGCTGATGCTTCATCTGCAGAATTTCTATGCCAAGACGGCAACATTGGTCCTCGATTCCCGTATCAAGGTCAAGCCTGCACGAGGAGCCAACGGCGCACGGAAACCTAACAAATGGGTACGTCTACTGGCTGTTCTACCTCGGCACGTTGCTGACCACTGAATAGTTCCAAATCGAGACGGATGAGATTGATGACTTTAGAGATGATCTCAAGATCTGGAAGACCTGTGGCAGTTTCGAGAACCACCCACCTGCGATGGTTATCGAGGTGTATCTGGACACATCTCGCTTAAAAGAAAGTCAAAGTCTCGTCATTGTTGACGAAAATGGCAAAAGATGGGATGTGATGGAGCAGCTCAACTCCTCAGGGTCCTCGACCGACAGCTCCTCTGGCGCATCCCGGAGGAGTTCTGAGGTTATCATTGAGAGATGGAAAGTTGAACTCAAGCACGCGGGCATGCCGCCCACCGACTTTGGCCTCATCCTGCCCACCGTTTACAAAAAGGCCATCGTATTCTTCCGCTCACTCTTCACCGCCACCCGCCTGCTTCCAGCGTGGAAGTTTGCTAGCCAGGGACCAGCTAAGAGCTCCCATCCAGCACTTACACCTCGATGCAGAGTACGCATGTCCGACTCGGAGCGTCCCCGATATGATCAACTACGGTTTTCCATCGATGGGAGACCAGATAACGTAACAGAGTACATGTTTGGTGATTTGGAGATCCCTGTGGGACGACTGAGCACTGTCGTCACCTATCGTAACGACTGCAACTTCCGGGTCGATGACTCTGAGGCCCTGTTGAGCTCTCGTTTCATGGGCGTAGACGAAAACTTCTTCCGACCTTCACTTCCTCAGCAGACCGATAGGCCGCGTGTGCCTATGGCCGAGGTCGGATCATTACGAGATAACCGTGCACGCCCGAATCTGAGTGATATGCAACAGCCTTATGGAAGCCTTTCGACATTCCATGGAAACGTTCCCTTGGGTACCAGTCCCATCTCAGCGCTGAGGGCGGTACGGGCCCCTGGATCTGACACCAGCTCACCTCCTGGTTCTCTACCAGTGCACAATGAGGTGGATGGGCCAAACTCGTTACCAACTCGGCAGGGCTCAACACGAGTGCCCGCGCGAACGGAAACTCCTCATAGTCGCAGGCCATCAGTGTCATTTCAGCCGTTCAAGGCTGGCTCACTGTCGGGATCGCCTGTTCCCCGCCAGATCGAGCCCGAGCCAGCCTCTCCCCAGTCCCTAACGCGTCCGGGGATGATCCCATCTCTTCGGCAACCGGGCAACCGCACGTCCCTCACGGCCGGTATGCCGGCATCTCTGCGGGGTGGGCCCCCTCAGTCTGTCGACAACGCCGTCACCGGGTCTCCTCGACCGGCCTCGACAAGCCGATACAGCAGCAGCTTTACCCACCGCCGTGGACGCCTATCATTTGGAGGTGCCAGCAGGGCGGGCGATGATGAGCAGGGCAGCAGTGGAAGACAGAGCCTAGCTTCATCGGTGATCCAGCCAGGCTCGGGACTTCTCGCTGAAGTCGCCGGCACCAGCTCCGAGTCGCTCCAGAACGAGGATGATAACATCTCCGAGTTCCTCAAGGCACTCGACAGCAAGAAGACGCTAAAGAGCTTTGAGCCTTCGAAAAAGGGAGAATCGGCCACAAACAGGACGGTGGCACAGCTTTCCCGGTTTCATATGATGAAGGACTCCAACAACGCTCTTACTGAGTCGATGACATCGTCGGTGCAGATGCAGCGATCGTCAAGCTCCTCCAGCCGGCAGCTGACAAGTGTGCCTGGGATGGTAGCACCAGCGTCCATGTCTGCGTCGTCATCTCCTGGAAAGCCCCTATCGCCACATACTCCTCACACACCAGCGATTCCATCTCGACTAAGCGAGAATTCAATCATTGACTACAACAACCAAGGCCGGATCGCTGCGCAGCAGAGACAGGCGCCAGATAGTGCCCTGCCTGGGACTATTAGGGAGAACACAGTCACTCAAGATGGCACTGTAGCCATCGATATACCCCTGTCACCACGACTGGGGACCTACCAGCGACGGGCGAGCTCTGTCGCATTACAGAACCGCGCGATGGCTGATGAAGATGAGACGGACCTGGCATTTGCGCATCGCAGCATCAGCTTAGGGGCGGATGACAGAGAGGTGCCCAGCCTGAGCATCTTGCGGGGCCGACAGGCGCAGCTGGAGGAGGAGTCAACGGCAAGGGAGTCGAGCAGACTCCAGCCAGCTGCCGAGATCGAGAGTACTAACCCACCAGAAATGATGCAACAAGGACTCTCGGAAGACAACCCTCCTGAAGGGCTCATCCCAGCGGTGACGTCCAGCTCTCCCTTTGGACGACGCCGATATATGGGAATGCCTTCACATAGGCAGACGCCACCACAGTCTTCGCGTGGAAGCTTCACCGGGTCCATCAACCGACCAGGACGTGGAGATGATGACTCGGTCGGCGAAGAGCCATTGGTCTTTGACCTCTCAGAGATGGATGCCCAAGGCCGACGGAGCATTGAAGAGGGACGGGGTAGTGCCCAGGGCGCGCCAGGCATCGGCTCTGACCGAGCGGGATACGAGAGCCGCAGCGCCTCGCGACGAGGGTGGTAGAGACCCTGAACAACAATAGCTTGCGTGCATTTCATGTGCTTTTTCGGCATGCTCAAGCCATTTACACGACGGACAGATACAGCATCAACTTGCTTCAGACAAGAGGAGGAAGATATACGGGAGCCATCTAGAGCAGAGCACGAAGGTTTATTTCGAGGACCAAGGAGTTCCTGGCAGGATGGCGCATGGATGTCACTTGGCTAGGTATGTAGGAGGTGACTTGTTGATGAAGTGATTTGGCGTCAACGGGGGCTTGTAGGTATGCATTACAACTTGGAAGCACAGAATGGATACGGAGTTTTTTGTTGTTTTAGCGAGGGACGGGATCTAGGTAGCTAGGGCTGACTGCAAGGCTCTGATCTCGGACTCGGAAGTCAGGTTACTATCAGGTTATGTCGAGTCGATACTCACCTATCCAATGTTAAAGTCCTTGATAGCTGAGGCGTCCTCTGTCATGAATTTGTCCGCTCCCTCCCACCTCTAGGACTCGGTCGCGGCCAGTTGCGCGTCCGCAGGCTCGTGACGTCTTTGATGTGGCGTCTGCTTCCCCAATTGTGGCACCTCGGACTCGGAACCTAGAGAGCGAGATGAGAAATACACGTATTGCAACCCGTATTTGGAGATTGCATGGGTATCTTGGAGGTAGCTCGGGCTAGTGCTTGTGTGGCGCGTGCGTGGCCTTGCTGGGAGGGCAGGAGGGGAGAGCTGAGCCCATAGCTCTCTCTGCCTGGTCTGACTGGCCAGCCCAAAGTGAACCGGCGGGAAGGCAGCTAAGCCCCGCTGATTCCCATTGATGACGAACAGTGCGGCGAAAGAAAGTGCCTGAGCCCCCCCCAAGAAGGGAAGGACGGACCTGGAAGCCTGTTTAAACATCCGCCCACGCAGCCTTGGAGACGCAAAGCCAATCTCTCTTATTGACCGTCCATATCCCTGTAGTCCACGACGACTTCTCGCCAAAGGGAACAGAAAAGAGAAGCCTGAGGAACTGTTCTAGTTCGGCCAGAGTGACGTGCCAAAGTGTGGAGAGCCACTTGCGCAACAACGACGCCGACGACCGACGATAAACTGGGGTTCCTGTCCTCGCATCATCACCACCAACAACCTACCCAACTACCTACACCTACACCAACACCATCTCCCTCGATACGCTCCATACCTAGATACCCAAGGCATCCAGCCAAACCAAAACTCCTCGGCATCTCGACCCGACGCTGCTCTTGCAGTACTCTTTCCCCGCCGAGACCTGCCCGCACCCACCGATAGCTTGATACCCAAAAGACAGCAGCCTGCTTGGCAACACCAACCATCATGTTTCGAGCCTCAGCTGCAGGCCCTTACGACGATGTCGTCAGTACGTTATCCGCTTCTCGTCTTGAGCTTCGTCATGCAAAGGCGTCTAGCTAGGCAACCATCTCTTCCCCATATGCTAACTCCAGGACAGTCAAGGCGACCGACGAGAGCTTCACCTCTGAGGACTGGGGCGCCATCATCGAGGTCTGCGACAAGGTCTCAGGCGACCAAAACGGCCCTAAGGAGGCCGTCCAGAGCATCATCAGGCGCCTCGCGCATCGCAACGCAAATGTCCAGCTTTACACCCTCGAGGTACGTTGGAGCCTGTTAACAACCTGTCTGTCTCCAACTAACTCCCATATAGCTCGCTCATGCGCTTGCGCAAAACTGCGGTAAGAACATGCACCGCGAACTGTCCAGCCGCGCCTTCACCGACGCCCTCCTCCGTCTCGCCAACGACCGCAACACGCACACACAAGTCAAGTCCAAGATCATCGAGCACATGAAGAGCTGGTCCGACATGTTTAACGACGACCCCGAACTGGGCATCATGAACGAGGCCTACCACCGTGTTACACGAAGCAACCCAAACCTCCAGCCCCCGAGTGCGCCCCAAAAGCAGGGCCTCACTGACCTGGATCGCCAGAAGGAGGAGGATGAGCTGCAGATGGCACTCAAGCTGAGTCTACAGGAGGAGGAGCGCAAGAAGGTTGCCGCCGCCGGCCCAAGCACACAAGCTGGACCCAGTGCTCAGACAGAGAGTCCCGCCCCTCCCGTGCCCGCCGGCACCACAGCTGCCACCGTTAGCCGAGTGCGTGCCCTCTTCGACTTTGTGCCTTCGGAACCTGGTGAGCTCGAGTTCAAGAAGGGTGATATAATTGCAGTCCTGGAAAGCGTTTACAAGGACTGGTGGAGGGGCTCTCTCAGAGGCAAGACGGGTATCTTCCCACTCAACTATGTCGAAAAGCTGGCCGACCCCACGCCGGACGAGTTGCAGCGCGAGGCCCAGATGGAATCAGAGGTGTTTGGCGAGATCAAGAATGTTGAGAAGCTGCTCACTTTGCTGAGCACCTCCAACACAGCACCTAGAGATGAGGATAATGAGGAGATTGGCGTAAGTGCCCAGTCTTAGGCTTACTGCGCTCGAATATGCTAACAACCTTGCAGAAGCTATATCACCAGACTCTCGCTATTCGGCCAAAGCTTATCAAGCTGATCGAGAAGTACTCGCAGAGGAAGGGTAAGTCATAGAGTTGTCTATGCTCAAGTCATGTCACTAATGCGAAGCAGACGACTTCACACAACTGAACGAGAAGTTTATCAAGGCGTGCCGGGATTATGAGGCTTTGCTCGAGTCTTCCATGGCTCACCCTCCTCAGCCTAACTATCAGCAGTATGCCATGCGGCCAGGTCCACCAGGCCAAGGCTATGCCCAGCCTGGCGGATATCCTCCTCAAGGAGCGCCTCCACAGGACCCGGCACGATACTATACTCCCGGACCAGGAGGTTAGTCACCCCGATTCTCGCTTCCATCGCTTATACTAACCAACATCTCCTAGACCGTCCTCAGTATCAGGCTTCATCTCCTCCACCCAACTTCCAAAATCAGGGCCAGAACCCTCAAGCACCCTTTTATGTAGCCGGAGCTGAAGTCCCTCCTGGCTCGCAGCACCTCCCCCCTAGAGACGAGGCTCCCGCTGGCGGCAGACAGCCTGCTCCCATCAGTACCTCCCCCGCCCAGAACTACGCTCCCTACTCTCTTCCTCCCCAAGGTGGCAACCCCTATGCTCAAGGCGGTCGACCAGGCAGCACGTACGGAGCTCAAGAACTGGCAACATCGGTTTACGACTCACCTATTGCGACCAACAACCCAGCCTCGACATACCCAGGCCCCGCATACTCACCTGATGAGACAGCCGACAATGCTACAGCACCACCAGGCCCATATACTTCCCAGCAACAGCAGCAGCCTCAGTACCAAAGCTACAACCCTCATGGCCCAGCACCCCCTGCTCCTACCGGCTCCGCCCCTCCCCCGCCTCAGAGCGTCATGACGCCTCCTCCTCTGCAACCTGGAAACGCTGCTGCTTACGATGCCCGCCATGGTCTCCCCAGCCAGAGTGGTGGTGCTGGTGGCGGTCAGCCTCAGTACAAGCCCTATGTTCCGCCTGGTGATGGGCCCTCTGCCCCAGCACCGGATAGCTATTATCAGAGCGGCGGCGTGTATTAGGTAATTATGAGTTAAGGATACGGAACCGTCGTCGGTACAGCGACAAGAGGACTTCTCCACCACGTTGGTGTTTCTTCCCCTTCCACTGGCTTTGCTTAAATTTACTTGATCTACATAGCACATGTGTGTCTGTTGGGTGGTTGGTTTCCCCAGGTCTGTCTCGTCACGTCTTTTTTGGGTTCATTCGTGTATGATACCACGGCCGCAACCATTCATTCTTTGGGTGATGGATGACTGGATGAGGAGTTTGTGAGCAGAGGAGGAAAAGAGACGGCTTCTACCTAGGTAGCTAGCAAGAGAAGACGTGAATTTCAGCTAATCGGTACCTAAACAAACAGTGAATGATGACAAGAAACTTGACAATATGAATGCTACACTTGACAAGTCCTTTTATAAGAATCGTATAATAACCACTCAACTTTAACATGAGAGCTACTGTTGCTATTTGTAGAGTTGGGACCCAGTAGTAGTCACAGCGAGTAGAGTTAAGTAGTGTTCGCATTAATTCCAGTGATAAGACGCAAAGGTCCCCAGGTGACAGAAACTGACGAGCCCTCTTATTTTGTTAAAGGAGCTCTGTGATCAGGTCAGGCTCCTTCTCAGAGAATGGCCGTTTGCTCTTGTCAGACGCTTCAGTCTCCCGGCTAGCGGTAAACCATGCAGATCCAGTATGTTTATCCATACCAGCAGGGATGCTCAATAGTACATTGAAAATGAACTCGTGCATATGTCATTATCAGTACCTCATGTTCAATATCTCATGTTCTAAAACCTTCCAACGCCATGTCCAATGCACTCTATGCGCGCCATCCGTAGCTCCCCGCCCTTTTCCAAGCAACCAACTACACGCAATAGTACATAGACGCTCACCACCTACGCCCGTAGACAGAGCTCTCCTCCTTTCTCGGGCGTCCGGGCCTTCTCTTGATCATACCCGCGGCCCTACGACCCTTGTCGTCGACACTATCGCCATCTTCGTTGGCAGGACCGAGGAGATCATCGTTCTGGGCAGAGCCCGGCTTGAACAGGGCAATGATCTCGTTGAGGCCGAGCTTGAAGCCCTCCTTGCGCATGCCACCCTCGATGGCCTGCTCAGCAAGGAGACGCTTCTTCTCCTGCAGGTCGAGGATGCGCTCTTCAACCGTCTTGGTGACGGTGAGCTTGTAGATGATGACGTCGACGGTCTGCGTGAGACGGTGGACACGATCGATGGCTTGTTCTTCAACAAACTAGGTCATGTTAGCAGACTGTTCCAAACAAGTTGCGGATACAAAGACACATACAGGGTTCCAGAATGGCTCGAGGATGACGACACGCGTCGCTGCGGTGAGGTTGAGTCCCAAACTACCGCACTTAAGACTGCACAGCAGGATGCGCGTCTTGGGGTCGCTCCTGAGGCGACGAAGGCTCTCTTCTCTCTCGTCGTTCTTCATGCTACCGTCGTAGCGCACAAAGGAGAAGCGCTCCTTGCGGAAGAAGGGCTCAACGAGGTCAAGCATAGAGGTGAACTGGGAGAAGACGATAAACTTGTGCTCCTTGACCTCGGCTTGCAGGATCTTGATGAGTTCGCGGATCTTGGACGACGCGAGCACTTGAGGCGAGTGAGGATCGCGCGACGGGTAGAAGATGCTGTCATCCTCCTCGGACGAGAGATCCGAGTCGTCTTCGGAGCCAGAGTCTGTCTCTGGCTCTGAGGCCGATGAACCCGAGGCGGCAGTCGTATCAGCTGCTGTGGTATCAGCCGTAGTAGTATCAGCTCCCGTCGTATCGGCAGTTGTGGTATCAGCAACGACTGATGGCTCATCGCTCAGTGTTTGAGCCGCCATTCGCTTCGTAATCTCCATAACAGACAATAGAGAGTCGTCCGAGTCAGATGCTTCACCCATGGAGCGGTATCCCTTTTCCTTCTTGGCAGCCTCGTCGTCCACGATAAAGCTGCTCAGATTGCTCTGCTCCTGGACCTTGCTCTCCTCATCCTCCGAGTCGTCAGAGCCGAGCCAGTCACCTCCACCCTCGGCGTTCTCGTCCTCCTCACCACCAGCCTTGCCAAGATGGAGAGAGCCTTGCTCGCCCTCGGGGACAAGCCAGGAGCCCTCTTCCTCGTCGTCACTATCAACGATGGCATTGCGGTGTCTGGGTTGTCGAGCTGCCTTCTTGGGTGACTCATCAGCCTCCTCGTCCTCGTCATCGCTATCGACAACGGCATTTCTGGGTCGAGATTGAGAGGCCTTCTTCGGTGACTCCTCTTCCTCTTCCTCATCGTCATCACTGTCCACAATAGCATTGTGATGCCGAGGTCGGCGAGCGGTCTTCTTGGGCGATTCTTCAGCATCATCCTCGACGATCTGCCTGTCAATAACCTTCTCGTCGACAATTTCTTCCTTGACCCCTTTCTTAGACTTGTGCTTCTTCTTGCTCTTGTCTTTGGACTTCTTTGGCTTCTCCGGTCGCTCATGATTGTTAAAGTACGCCAGATCATCATGACACTCAGTGCAGATGTCTCTTCCTGAGCCGGTGTCCTCGCTGCTCAGTCCTCGTCCACAAATATTGCAGTCTTTGGAAACAACACTCATGCCAGCAAACATGTCAGCCATGGCGTCAATGTCCACATCTTGCGACTTCTGGCTCGAGTCTGTCGACAAGGCGTCCTTGTCCTTCTCCAGCTTGCCTTCGACAAGCTTCGGATGGTTACAAGCCTGTCGCAGTCGCAAGAGCAAGGTCAAGGCGTTGGCGTAGTTGACCCTGCCACGCATCATGGCTTCGATGCTGCGGTCAGCGCGCGCTGCTAGTCGATCGTAGAACTTGCGCTCTGCAGGCGACAGCTCCGTCGCCACAGTCACGACCTTGCGCTCAGTGACCTTGAATCCCGTAGCGGAACCTTCGCCCTCGGCAGATGGCTTGCCACCAGGGTTGAGAGCACCAGCTTCCTTGAGGATGTCCTTGGTTCGGCGCTTCATGAAGCACCTGAGAAGACTATGAAGTCTGCGGATGGCAATGTGTCCTTTGCCGTTCTTCAGGGGGAGGTCAATGTGTTCCTTCCACTCCTTGAGGTCATCGTAAGGTCTAATACGGAGGAACTTGACCAGAGACTGGAGCTCATCCAAGTTGTTCTGCATGGGAGTACCCGACAAGCACCAGCGGTACTCGGACCGCAATGCGTAGCAGGACTTTGTAGCCTTTGCGTTGCGGTTCTTGATAGTGTGAGCCTCATCGAGGATCACTCGCCACCAATGTAGACCAAAGCATCCTGCCTTGACACCATTCTCGGCGTCAGAAGAATTGCCATGCTCCGAGACTAGAATCTGGTAGGTTGTAACGACAACATCGTACAGGGCAAGGTCCTTGAACCGCTTCGTACGGTTTGGTCCATGATGAACGCAGACTTTGAGCCCATGGGATTTTTCCACTTTATCCTTAATTTCGTGCTCCCATTGTCGGATCAGGGCCAGCGGTGCCACCACCAGTGTTGTCTTTTCGATGTTTTCATACTGCTTCTTCCAGCCAGTGCCATCTTTCTCCGGCTTCTGGTTGGTGAGAATCAGCGAGATGGACTGGAGCGTCTTTCCTAGACCCATGTCGTCGGCGAGAATGCCACCTTTGGGCACCCTGCCTCGCTTGACGGGGCCGAGTTCTCGTCCTCTCATCCACTCGACACCTTCCACTTGATGAGGCAGTAGCTTGACCTTGAGGCCGTCGATAGAGCCATCATTTGTCTCCTTGACCACCTCAGGCTTCTTCTCACCATCATCACCTTTGGTCTCCCCCTCTTCATCTTCCCCTTCGTCCATGCCACCCTCAAGCAGAGCTTTCAGGTCGGCGCTGGCCTTGGCGGGGTCTGTAAAGAACACCTCATCACGAGAGTACGAAGCTGGAGCAACGGGGGCGTTGGAGCTAAACATTTGCATCGGCGGTGGTTTGCGGTCTTGGTAGGTAGGCGCTCTGGGTCCCGAGACTCTGGCAATGCTGTTGCTGCCTCGGCCGTCGAGGTGATGCTCGGGGCGGGTCCTCTGGTGCAGGAAGACGTCTGCTCTCTGCTTACGAGACGACATCATCTTGGTAGGATGGCCGAATGTGGGAGTGGAGGTGGCGTCGGTTGGATTGAACGGGTCGCTCATGGTCTTGACGCTCCCCTTGACGGAGTCAAGACCACGCATGAGGGCGGTGATATCATCGTCGGGGGACTTTTCGCGGGACAGGTTACCGCCATCCTTGGTAGGATGTAGGGGCGCCTTGGGCGGCGCACGTTCTTTAACCATGTCTCCGAGTCTCGCAGGACGGTAGAATTGTTGCGGTGTGTGTTGATCGTCTCGTCGTCTGTCGAGGCGGGGGTTGGCGGGGGCAACTTGGAGAAACTAAACTCTTGTGTCGACTCGAGGATGTTCCGGTGTTTAAATGCACAAACTAGCACCAGGCTTGTCAGTCGTAGGCCTCAAAGACGCGTCGTCACGGCAGCTCATAAATAGTAAACGCCCTGGGTGAGGTGATGTGCCATCTCGTGAAACCGTTGTGTACCTGAGACTTTCGCTAGGGTCCCCGTTTGGAAGCGTTTGTTTGCTGCCCGCCCTGGATGACATAATGCATTGCCCCAGCAACTGGACCCCTCGCCCCCAATCAGACGATCGCGTGTATTGTAGCTTGGGCGCGTAAAGCACTGTGAGACCATGAACTGCAGTGAGCCGCACACACAAGCCATGGCGTACCTGACCCCTGTTGTCACAGTGCCATCAACTGGAAGTGACCTAGAGTCGACATGCGCCACCCGCACAAGCCACCCAACGACGAGGCCTTGGACGTTGCTGTCCAACTTGAACAAACTACAAACACTGTAGCCGGGTTTGAAAATGATTAGATGATGCTCGTATGGGCATAGGTATACTATTTTAAATTTCTTAGTTCTCCTATCGAATCCCGTAGTCTCAAAACTACATTATATGCGCATTCATAGTTGCCTTGGCACCACTTACACCCGTCTTCGGTACGGAAACCAACATACGGAGGGGATCACTATCCATAGTTGAAAGACATTTTCAAACATAGATAGCATGAAACGTCAAGTCAAATAATATTGGGGTAGAGAGTTAGGAAAGCGAAGAAAAACAAAAGTCAATCGTCGTAGGAATACGATATTAATGAATGCTCTTGTTAAATCCTTATCTTATGAGCTATACCATGGAATGTTCAATCACTTCACAGAAATGGAACCAGTTTTAGATGATATATACTTTTCTATTGCAGATTCGTAAAGCTTTGTTCATGCCTACATTACACACAATCTCATCCTTGTAAACCTTTCAGACAAAAAACATTTGGGCAGCCGGTTCTTTCGGCCGCCATGATATGACGCCGGACCCAGATGGAAAACAGTTGCTTTAATTTGTCATGACCCATCGAAAAAATTCGCTTTCCTTTTTCTTCCTTCTCTTCATCTTCAAGCTTAGACAGTGGGGCCGGCCTTGACAACGTCCTCGGTGGCCTCGCTCTCGTACTTGGTGAAGTTCTCGCGGAAGAGCTTGCCCAGCTTGACAACCTCGGTGTTGAAGCTGTCCTCACCGGCGGTCCAGGCCTTGGAGGGGTTGAGGAGCTCCGAGGGGACGTTGGGGCAGGTCTTGGGGACCTGGAGGTTGAAGACACCGTAGTTCTCGTACTCGACCTTGGCGAGGTCGCCAGAGTGGATGGCGTCGAGGATGGCACGGGTGTACTTGAGGGGGCATCGCTTGCCGCCCTGGGCGAAACCGGCACCGACCCAGCCGGTGTTGAGGAGCCAGGCGTTGGCGTTGTGCTGCTCGATCTTGTCGGCAAGCATGGAGGCGTACTTCATGGGGTGCAGAGCAAGGAAGGGCTGAGCGAAGCAGCTGGAGAAGGTAGCCTGGGGCTCGGTGACACCGTCCTCAGTACCGGCCATCTTGGAGGTGTAACCAGAGATGAAGTGGAACATGGTCTGGTTGCGGTCCAGCTTGGAGATGGGGGGCAGGACACCGCGGGCGTCGCAGGTGAGGAGGATGATGTTGGAGGGAGCGTTGGTGGACAGGCAGGGGATCTTGGCGTTGGAGATGTACTCAATGGGGTAGGCGCATCGAGTGTTCTCGGTGAGGGTAGCATCGTCGTAGTCGACATCGCGGGTGAGGGGGTCGAAGACGACGTTCTCGAGGACGGATCCGTAGCGGATGGCGCCGAAGATATCGGGCTCCTTCTCAGCAGACAGACCGATGGTCTTAGCGTAGCAGCCACCCTCGATGTTGAAGACACCAGTGTCGCTCCAGCAGTGCTCATCGTCACCAATCAGGGCTCGGTTGGGGTCGGCGGAGAGAGTGGTCTTGCCAGTACCGGACAGACCGAAGAAGAGAGTGACGTCGCCGTTCTTGCCCTCGTTGGCGGAGGAGTGGAGGGTCAGGACGTTGTGCTTGATGGGCATCTCGTAGAAGAGGACGGTGAAGACACCCTTCTTCATCTCACCGGCATACTCAGTACCGAGGATGACCATCTCCTTCTGCTCGAAGTTGATGGCGACCGAAGTGCCAGAGGTCATACCCTCCGTGTATCGGTTGGCGGGGAACTTGCCAGCGTTGTAGATGGTGTAGTCGGGGTGGAAGTCCTTGAGCTCCTCGCGGGAGGGTCGGATAAGCATGTTTCGCATGAAGAGAGCATGGTAGGCACGGGCGCAGATGACTCGGACGCGGATGCGGTACTTCTCGTCCCAGCCGGCGAAACCATCGATGACATAGATACGGCTTCGGGTGTTGAGGTAGTCGACAGCACGCTCACGGTTGATCTTCCAGACCTGTAGAGATAATTTTGTCAGTCATGATTGCTCGCAGGGATAAGCTCAAGTTGGGATGGCAGCCGGAGGCCTTGCCCGTTTGGGTAATCAAGGTCGGAATCGGGAAAAGTCGTGGTCGGGGAAGAAAAGAGGGGCAGACCACGGCCGAAGGCTTCGGGGCTCGGGGCTGGGCTCGGTCTGAAGCCGTGGCACCAAGCCGCCATGTGGCTACTTTGCCGGGGAAGAGAGGGGGCAAGAAGAAAAGGGAAAGGGTGTGGTCGTCTGCGGGGTCACGATTGCCGACCCCATGACGCCAACCCAGACCAGGGGAAAGGACTGGACCATTGAGAGTCTTGGACAACTGCTAGGAAACCACTGGACCAAGCCTCTGCCAACCAGCGACCAGGCAATTGGGTAAGAGAATAAGCACCGGTGGGCAAGCCATGGAGGCCATGACGCTCACGCCACGGGTACCCTCGGGGCAAAGGCAATTCTGGTCGCTGGAATGGAGGTGCTGTTCCGACGAGGGTCTAGGCGCTCGCTCGTGGTGTCTGCAAATTTTCTGCTGCTGCAACCGAGGATGCAAAACAGGAGACAAAGTGCCACAACAACGAGGTTCCATCTCGATGGCCAGGGGATCATGTTCGGACTGCGTGTGCAAGCAAGTTGTTTCTTACCTCAGGAGTCATGGGCTTGTTGACGGGGCCCCACCTAGAGATTCCATGTTAGCTGCAAGCTCATCTCGATTTGTGCCCGGCACCTGGAACTCTATTGCCGAGTCTCGGGAAATCACGTACCAGATGTCGTCCTTGGAAGAGTCCTCCTGGACAATTCGCTTGTCGAGGGGCGAACGGCCAGTCTTGGCCCCAGAGTAGGCAGTCAGGGCACCGCTGGAGGTGATAGCGGTACCGGTCTCGTAGACGAGAGCATCCTCGTAGAGAGCAGCAACGGAAGGGTTGGGGATCTGAGAGACCAATTGTTAGCACAAGCGTCTCTGCCTAGGCTTTTGAAGCCCAATTGAGTGCTGAAATTCTTACAATCGCGACACGGTCGTAGTCGATGTGAGCCTTGTCGTGGAGTTCCTGCTCCAGCTCGGTGTGCTCCACGTGGGGACTGTGGCATCCGTGTTAGTCGACCTGTGCTCACAAGAGCATCTTGGGAGGAAACGTACGCAACACCGGTGGGGTGAAGGGAAGTCTTGTTGACGTTGTTGGGAAGCACTGCGACAGAGTCAGCAACATTTTTCGAGCTTGTGTGATTGACAAAGTGTGTGGTGGTAACTTCGTCATGAAGCTGGGTAGGAGAGGTAGGTAGGTGGTCGTGTGAGGCCTTCAAGAGGCGGGAATGATGACGAGGAGGGCAGAGTCAAGACTCACTCTTGAATAAACCGGTTCCTGAAGCCTGAATCTGGGACCTTGGGCCTTTGACGTTTGGATCAGAGTAAGGAGAAGCTGTTCTGTAGACGGGGTCGTTCATGGCTTTTATAAAAGCTTCACGAGCAGCTCGAGATCTAATGGTGTACGCCCGGGGGTGTGCGGTTCGCGGTGTGCCTCTCCACAAGGTGGGTTCCTCAGATAGTGCCCGCCCTCGAGGGTTGAAACCGAGGATGGAGAGGGACGGGGAGTGATGGGGTGGGAGGCTCTGGTACGGGCGTCGAGTGGCAGAGACAAGCGCGTAGTGGAGCCGACGAGGCGTCGCAGGTGACAGGCACGAAATTATACCGGAAGAGATTTCTTGGTACACGGTGACCGGACGGTACACCTGGTACAACGGGCAAAGCCTGGGCGCCAGCTGGGGTTGCGGGACGGAGGAGGAGGGTCACAGAACGTAACCCCGGTCCAAGTTTTTCCTTTCGTTTGATGGGCGACGAAGCGTCAGAGTTTGGACGGGGGAGGGGCGTGCAAGGCCAGGAAGCCCAACCAAAGGCCGAGAGGGCAACAGAGGGGGGAAGATGCCGGAGAATGCAGGAGCCAGATGGGCCAGATGGAGCTCGATGGTGGTCGATGCTCTTCGAGATGGTCGACAAGCACGGGAGATGAGTGGTTGTATGTGGAGAAGTCCCGACCAAAAGTCTTGGGATCCTTGGATCTGTGGGTGATGCCGAACGGATGGCGCCTTTGCTTGACGTATTGACGTTAATGTGACGGCAAGCCCATGTACACGATAGCAGAGTTAGTGGTGTTGCTAAGCCTCAGCGTTGTTAAACAGAGCAATTGAGAAGCAGCTGATAGTCAGGATGTTGATTGATGTGTGAGGAGAAAGTGGTGATGACGACAATCATGGCTGTCTCTCTTT